TTTTTGATAAAGTTATCACCAGTTTAAAGTTTAATCAAAATCATCACCAGCTATTTCAGAAAGCACCATAGGATAGCAGATAAATGATGTCATACCCTTGTGAGAATGCACAACTTGGTACAAAAATATTTGACATAAGCTTATGCGTACTAAATAACAGCAACTTGGTCTGCTGAAAGCTACTCACTGTTCTCATATAAATCTGTTCTAACCCTCACACACTGCAGAACATCTGAAGCAAAGCTTTACATAATTAGCTTTACAAACAAATTAGTTGTCTCTTGTATAAAAAGGTATTTTACAATGAGCAATAATTAACCATCTCAGCTATGGCCTCAATATGGAGACATCTGAAAATACATGTGACAAAAGAAGAAACTGCATCAACATGACCTTTTTCAGATTGTTCACCAGAATATCAATATTCACAGTGGTAGAGAAGTGGGGGGAAAAAGATTGGGGAAAAAAACAAAGAAATTGACTCATAAAGTACACAAATAAAGGAGAGGACTATTAGATGTCAATCAACAAAGGAGTGTTACTGCACATCAGACATTTTGACAGTTATTCAATGGTTATGGTGGTTTCTCTGTTTTCAATCAGCAGGTTAAAGTTTGTTCTTTATCATATGGCTCTTGTTATTTAATATTTTAATAGTGCGACATCACTGACTTCTTTGTTTCTGTGAACAGGCAACTGCATGACAACAAAATGATGGCGGGTTACACATTCTCTAATGTCTGTACACAGCACTTTCTAGTTTATTAGGCAGATTACTGTGCTATACTCATGCATGTGTCTCACAACTAAAATGTCTGTCATGTGTTGTGTGATTAACAACATTCACATGCAAATTGGAAACGTCCATAGAAAGACAGAGGTAACAGAGATAAGCGACCTAACACTTCAGTTCATGTCTAGTGACCCAGGTTTCTGTTGCAGAAAACATAACAGTTTGAAAGAGTCACCCTTGATAATTCAGATGTGTTCAAAGTACAGTGACAGTCAGCCTGGTCACCTGACCACAGACAATAGATAACTCTGGGACTCACAACAGGAATGAAGTGAAACGTTGCCGTCTGTCTGAAACAGAGCAACTTCATCACATCCTGCATCCAGATATGCACATACAGTAGATAAGATGAATTAAACTGTTAAATGATGCACATGAAAAGATTTTTATAAAGCTCCCCTCTTTTTTAAAAGAAGGATTCAGTACAGTGCACATAAAAACTTGAGGTGGAAAATCAAGAGATATATTTCAGTAAAATATCCCACAACTTAGCTTAACCGAGTAACCACCAGCAACTCAGGGGTTAAAGTGAAATCTCACTCTGCAGAAACACAAAATGCATATTGAATTGTGTCACTACAGATACTAGACTAGACTTAGATTCTTCCAACAACTATGACACTGTGCCTTTTTTTGCAGAAATTGTACTTATAATGAGAAGAACAATGCCCACCCCTGACAAATGAAATGAATAACGGCCCTATTCCATTTATGAGTCACGGGGCCTTGAATAGATAAAACTAAACGGTATAAACTCATCACTGATGTCGTATTCTTTATGCTATGAAATGAAGTGTCTGCTGTGAAAAAGGTCCACTGCAACAATGAGGCGCAGAGAATCATTCATCAAGTTCAAGAAAACATGGAAACTATTCAAACTTATGGCCATATTATGAACTTAGGGTATAGTTGCATTAGTGGAAACAAGCATTATTATCAATGATAATCAAGGTTATTATTTAAAAACAAACAAAAAAACATGAGTGTGAAGGGAGTTGTGGCTGTACTGACTATCTACCTGAGCTTGACAAGGCCTATTTACTCAAGTGCAATAATGCCTGTCTCATAGACATAATACATCATTCAAAGTTCAGGCAAACACTAACATGAAGGACCTATACTACAAATAATTCAGTTTGGGTGGACTTTTCATTGACTTGATTACGATGCAGCATATTTAGCTTTTTCAGGTTTTCAGGACCAGTCCAAATTTTCCTCAGAACCCAAGACCCCCAGAAACCAACCAAAACTTACCATAATGAATGGACCTGAGACCTTTTCTACGTAGGGTCAGGTCTGATTAATGATATTTACTCTCTTTCCAATGATAATAACACCATCATTTGCTGACAGCCACTGATGCAAAAGAGCTGAGAACCTCCTACATGGCTTTTGCTGCTCCTATAATTTCATGGAAGACACTGTGTAGTTGCTGGTGAAGATGATGGAGATGTCACATGGACATCTGGATGTAAGTGCACTTTTGGTCTTGGAAACTTGAGAAGAGTGAAGCTCTTTCCACCTCAAGTTACAGCACTTGACCTCCTCTGCTGAATGAATAAGAGGTTAAGGAGTGGTTGATATTAATGTCTAGAAAGAGTCTTTGTTAACACACTGCATCCATCCAAGACATGGGACTGAAGCCCAGCGTGGAAGACTTTGAGGTCTGATGGTCTCAGCGTGTCTTCCTGTAGTAAACAATGGTTGCCACCAGTACAACTGAGGCTACTATTGCTGCTGTCCTCCACCGAGAAAAGCCACGGATCACCCCTTCCTAGAGAAAACAAAGTAAGCTAAATTGAATGCCCTGCATGCTACTAAGCACCTTGTAAAGCCTTAAACCAACATTTTGAACAAATTAAGCACTTTACTGAGATGATGGATCACTCACCCAGCCTCCCTGTTGTACTAGCCAGGGGTAAAGCATCTCTCTGACGGCCTGGAGAAACCAACTGATGACCATTCTGATGTTCTCTAAATGGTTGGTGGTCAGTGCCTTTAAAGCAAAAAAAAGGACAGGGCAGCACTCAAGTAAACCAAATTCATTTGTCAAGTTAAAACATTTTTTTTATCTACAATATTTACATCATGGGAATCAATTACAAATAACACAGGTGGTTGCTGTTTGCTGTTTTGAGTCACAACCCTCTGTTCACATTGACGAGACTAATTGCACTACATGTGCCCCTGCCACAACCTCCAGCACTGAGTTGACCCCAAGTAGCAGCTGTTGTGGCTGTCTCAGAGACTCCATTTAAACCTTGATTTGAGTTTTTCTGAATTGCTAAAACACTAATTCCTGTTGTGTGAATCAATTGCCCAGTTGTCTAAACTCATTCACTGAATTGAGCATCATTTTGACAAAACCATAAACTATCTTCACCTAGTAAAACACTATTTGCAGATCTCAGTCCTTCCTTTTGCAAAAATCTAAACACATTCTAATGCAATAAAACACAGTTTTCACTGTGATGCACTTGTGATGCATAATGGTAAAAACCAGTGGCAAAATATGAACACAAATGAAACACATGTTTCATCCATTGAACACAACGATTCAAAATTGATCACATTTGTTTCTCTTCATGTCATGACAACATGACAACCAATATAAGCCAGTTCAGAGTGCAAGCAGGTTGGATGACATGCTCATGACAACAATGGATCAGAGACACAGAGGACGAGTGTGTGTAAGAGGAGGTAGAGGTGGAGGACAAGAAGGAGGCAGAGGAAGAGGAGGGAGAGGAAGACGAAGAGTGGCAATTTCTGATGGTGGTACAGTAATATAACACTGTGTGCTGCTATAAGCAACCGGGGTGTTCTTCACCATCATGCCACTCTGGGGCCATGTACTGTAACACCCAGCACCTTCTCACCTTTCTTGGTGGTCTTAAAGATGTGTTGTCTGCAAATGAACGGCAGGAACATGAGATGATTGAGCGGCCTATGTTATGATTTGGGACAATGTTAGTTTTCACCGTGCTGTCCAATTCAAAGAATGGTTCAATATGAATCAGAATATCATTATAGTAACATATACCTGCCACTGTACTCTCCCTTCCTCAATGCAATAGAGGAGTTTTCCTCCACTTGGACATGGAAGGTGTACGAGCGACAGCCCTACACCAGGCTTACAGTAATCTTCTTGAGGCCATGGAACTAGCCTGTGATGACATTGGTGAGGAGATGTGTCAGGGTTGGGTACGGCAAGGGCAAATATAATGTGTGATGTGGATGAAGTGCTGTGGCCTGACCCAGCCCAAAGACAGGATGACGCTCGATGAAGCTCAATGATCAACTGTGAAAAGTACTTTATAAACATTTCTCCATGAGCAACATGCCTTGACCACTCTGTTTTCATTTTTTTGGTGTAGTGTTTAAAGACAGCTCAGCAGTTTTTCTATTTTGACAGTTTAGTGCAAGATCTGACAACATTGTTCGGTTTTGAGCACATGTGAAACTATTTTGAGGCGATGGTATGGTTTTGCAAAAGGAATCAGAGGTTTTGTGAATGTAGTTTAAGAAAAGAGTTTTGTATTTAGGATTCTGAGAAAAGGACAGAAGGATTTAAAAAATGTGTTTTAACAATTGTGAAAAACTGTAAAATATGCTTCATACTTTTAACCTGATTACTTTTACCCCCAGTATTATGATATATCTTCAGCTCATGTGACATCCTCCTCATGTCCCTTGAGAATTTATGTTTATGTCTTTATCTTGAAAAACTAAACTTTTGTTTAGGTCCTGTATGCACTCCTGACAATGTCTGGGCATGCTCCTGATGAGTTGGTGGATGGTGTCCTGGGGGATCTTTTCCCAGACCTGGACCAGGGCATCAGTGAGCTCCTGCACAGTCTGTGGTGTTACTTGGCCGCATCGGATGCACCGATACATAATGTCCCATAGGTGCTCAATTGGATTTAGAACAGGGGAATGAGAGGGCCAGTCAATGGCATCAATGCCTTCATCATCCATGAACTGCCTACACACTCTGGCCACATGAGGCCGGGCATTGTCCTGCCCACTATACCAGTTCTAAGACGATAAAGTGTTTACCTTTAATTTTTTTGAGCAATGTATTTTTGGTCGTGAGGCACAAGGTATAAATAGCAGAAAGTAGTTCAACTTATGAAAATATGCAATGCAGATCACCAATCCAAACCCACCGGGCATCCGTAACTCTAACCCAGCAACTTAATGAGGAATAGAAACTGACATTAGAGCTTTAGAACAGTCTCATACCTGCCAATAAGAGTTTGCTGTTTCAGTGCAGTACCTTGTGTATGAGTCTGTAGGCCAGATGGAAGAGAGCCACCACTCTACCCCAGTTGATTCCATCAACAAATATACTCCTGGCCACCTTCATGAAGACGTCCTGAGCACAGTTACCTTGGACCTGGTTGATCAGTCTGACAGGAGGAGATAGAAAGATTGAAATTATTTCATTTGATTCCACATCACTATAAGATTAAGTACGTCTTGCATCAGTGTTCATAAGTGTGGGTACGCTCATTTTATATTATGTCCTGGCACATGGTGTTTGGCATCTGTATTTCAGTATAAACAGTAATATTGGGAAGGTTGGAATATTCTGTGTGATTGTGATATTACAATTTACCATAATAGTTACAGAAACAATAACTGCAGCATGAAATGTTGACACTGGCACATCTTTAGTTGTCCAAATGCAAATCAGCACGCAATCCCATCAACAGATGTTGTATGGGCTGACTGGTTGGTGGAAACTATGACTGTGAGTTCCACACAACTACTTTCACACCTCACACAACAAATTCTCTTTCGCAATATTTCTAATGTTGTTGTTCTTTTGCAATTTCAAGTGTCAAATTGTAAAGTTACAATGCACATAAAACAGCTTACAGTCGAAGCTCAGCATTCCTGTTCAAATCATCTGCAATCTTGAGCAGCTGTTCCACCACTTCTTTGATTTGTGGATCCTGTTGTTCATTAGGCCGTCCTCCCAGATCCTCAGAGCAGACCTGTCGACCAGGGTCCTGCGCGTTTATGCGCTCAATCACGTATCTGTGACAGAGAAAACCGTTTGATCGAGCGAAAACCACCGATATTTTTTTTGTGCACAGCTGCAGAATCGTCACCCTAAAGATTATGTTTTCTTGCCATTAAATGCTATTTAATAAAACTGTTTTGTGGTCAGTGAGAGCTGGGTGCAACGACTACCCTGTTTAGTATGCAAACTCCAACGTTGGGTTTCAGTCGGGACAGGTGAAAACTGAGACTTCTATGAATGATGATGTACTGGGTCTTATGCCAAGTTTACGATACACGACTTGTCATGTGACTGGGAGTCTTACATTTGTTACGACTCGCAAAACCCCCCAACTAGTATATATGGTCTCAAAACTAAATTTGGTGATGAAAACACACACACACACACATTGAGTCCAAATTATGTTTCATCCTGTTCACAGAATAACACATCAAGCTGGAGGAAAAGTTAAAAATGTTCAGTTGACTTCACATCTCAGTTGTATAGAAATGGAAAATCATGGCAATTATTCTCAACTTTGCCATTAACAATGTAATAACTTTGTTTTATAACTCAGGAAAATTATTTTATACACACACTTACACTTATGTTACTTTGTATGGTTGATGCTCACTTAACCTAATTAATTCCTATAGCACTTTGCATAAAAGCAATGTGCGAAAGTCAGAGAGCACCTTACCTGACCACGACATGTGCCTTCACTCCTTTACTGTGATTGGCTGTAGCGCTCACAGATTTGTCTAAATAATAAGTCTGTCTGAATCTAGTGGGAGTCTGCAACAGGTCGACGAGCCCCTCACATCATCTCTTTGAACAGTTCACACAAAACAACTGCTGACGACTGATCAAATTGACCTAAAAAGCATGTAGTGTGAACTAGGTGACCAGCAATGACTGCAAAGTAATGCTAAAAGCTGCTATCAGACATGCACTAAACTCCGGAGGTCCTCAGCAGAGGTGTATAATTGACACAAATATCCGAGTGAGAACCTCTGGACTTTCTGCAGACTCTCTCCGCCTGACCCCTAGTACAAAATCAACAGAAAGTCTTTAGACTGCTAGAACTCAGCTGGGGATCCCTGCTGGATTCACCGCGAGCGGGTGGGTAGGTTGATTACGCTTCTAACATGCAACTGATGGAAAAAAAAAAAAAAAAAGAAAAAAGAATACAAATATATCCAGGAGAAAAGTGGAGTCATAGTAAGGCTACTGGTTTTCCTTTGAAATACATGACCTGAGATCCCAATGATGAAGACAGAAAAGGTTACACAGTAACTGTTTGTGTGTTATTAGATTAAGTACATTGTATTATTCAATACCTGTGGTGTAGATGATGATCCAATTTAAATTGCATGGTGAATAAATGTAGGAAAAAAATGGTAATTCCAAAAGATGAATTTACTCATACACACTTTTTCAAGTACTTGTACTTTTTTTCAGTGGGAGCCTTCATGTCAGAAGCTATATTAATACAACCAATATCTACCAAGCAGAGTGTTTGCTATCTATATAACATAGAAAAAAGTAGTTGCTGGGTGTGACGGACCATTTTTGTTATTGTGGGAAATAAAATACAGTTTAAAAAACTGAACAGAAATATAGAGATACTCATCAACTATATGTAAAGCCCCATTCTAAATTTTATACCTTAAACATCAAAAAACATGTTTTAAGATGTTACAAGACTTTAAGAATCAGGGGGAACCCTGGATAGGGAGAAACAAGACTTTAACTTTTGATACTAAAACTTGTAGTGTCAATTATAAAAACCCTAATGACACATAATGGTACCAGGCCTACATTTTTACATAGCTTTAACATTGTGTGAAACAAAGCTTAATTGACAATTAATTCATTAACTTGGTATCATAAATCATTTTTTTGGTAGTTTTTCCCTTCTCTTGTTGAGAGTTAGGGACAGAGGATTTCACACCTTGTTAAGCTCTATGAGACAAATTGTTATTTGTGAATATGGGCTATACAAATAACATCTGACTGATTGATTAAGCTGTGCAAAAACACAAACTTGAAAAGTCTCAACAACCATGGGCTATTTTCTTACATTACATTTCAATAAGCTGACGCTTTTATCCAAAGCGACTTGCAATCAGCTATTTTAGAGGGTATGTAGCAGTTCGTCGTAAACTAATTAAACCATGACAAAACACTGGTATGGTCCTTTAACAAGTTGTTTTGGTGAGACTTACCCCCTGAGGACCACTGCCCCTTGCTCCAGGATGGGATCATCAATGACATCTGGATCAATTAGAAGACTAATGAGAAATCTGATTAAGGACACTTCAAATACATTTACTCAAAAGATTGTTTTGTTGATTTTTTAGGTGAATCTTATTTGTTCCTGTTTGTTTACATGTGTACCGATAGTTCGATTGAAGCCTTTGTGTCTCTGGAATGGAAGGACGCATTTGCCAAATAGGAAAGCCTAGGCGCACAGCTGTGGTCTTCATATGCATACTCCGAAGGATGTGGCCCCTAAATTGAGACCCACCTCATGGCAGACCCTCAAACACATGCTGCGGTCAAGTGTGGGTACCATACTCAAATATCTGTACCTTCAGTCAATTTAAAAGTAAGTCAGAAGTTAGAAAGATGTTCTAAATCATCAGAATAGCTTGTCATCAGTCGACATACTGATATGTTGAATGCACTTATTGAAAGTCGCTTTGGATGAAAGCGTCAGCTAAATAATATGTCATTTTGTGATATTTACCCAGTGTTATAGACAATCATAGAACAAGGGCCTTGATCATCTTACACACGGACGTCGTACCTGCTCCTTGTCTATAGCGCCACCGTCAGGGCTCAGGGATACAGGCAGGTTATGATTATGTGTTGCGGAAGTAATATGTGGGTGACAGGGGAGAGATGAGGTCAAGTTGGTGTGAACCTCCAGATCAAGGAGAGGAAAGAGACTTTGACCCGCCGACCCCTTCATAGTGAAACAGAGAGAGTCGGACTCTGTCTGGGCCGAGCAATGGTGCAAGTCACTTCGAAAAGAGTCTGAAGCAGACATGGCTTCACATACCTTCCCCTCCCACGGCGCCCTGAGGCTCCTGCTCTCCCTCTTCTCTTCCTTCCCGGCTGTCAGCCATGGCTGCAAACCGTCCGTCAGTCCAGAGCTTTGTTTGAGGAACTACTTGTTTGGCTCCGACATTCAACGCTAGCTCGGCTCGCCGGCGGAGTGAGGTCGCTGTTCGGACGTGTCGCTTCCGTGAAAGTTTTCGTTTGGCCGTACACCGGAGAACAAGGAAGTGACATGATATGCGCAGTGGCAACCAGCCGCCGGCACGCCCCCCTCTGACCGGAAGGAGTACTGCCATTCCACTGCCAAGTATGGATATGGTGTTGTCCCAGAATAATCACAAGATTGACAGTGCTCACATGTTTACATCCAAGTTTTCCACAACATAGATCACATTCTTGCGAGCTAGTGAAAATACGTTGTCCATTTGGGAATATCGGACAAAGAGCCTCTTTGCTTTGTCCGATATTCCCAAATGGATAACGTATATGGACATTTAGTAAAGAAATGCTCATTGGTTCAGCCCCTGCAGAATAAAAGACGCAAACGTCTAAAGTTTGAATCTTTTGTGCAGAAAATCACAATCAGGTTAATGTTTTGCTGATTCTATTTTAGAATTAGCCTCTTTGACTAAATTAACAATAGAACATGTCCAATAAAAGGAAGAGGAATGTTTAGAGGGAATTCTACATTATGTCATATGTCAAGAGCATTCAGGTCCCTCACTGTTACTGTTTTGTTACCACACTTTTTATCCAACACATTACATATTAGCGTACAAGCTCTTATTAATTAGATGGAGTGAAGGAAATTGAATTGCTTTGCAGGTAATATCATGATATTTTCTTTCAATTGATATTCTACTTATAGTATGCAGTCATCATAGAGAGAAAAAAAAGGGGATTGTGAATTTCTTTGTAGATTTTATCATAACTTTTCTTTAAATAGTAATATTATACTTTTGGATAAGAATTACAATATCATTTACATTTCAGACAGAGAAATGGAGGAAAATCCAAATCAAAGAAAACTTCACTGTTTTAAAGTGTCAAAATGTCTTAACTATTTAAAAGAAAGAGGTGGCAGGAGCGGTGTCCCCCAAACCACTGGTGCTCATGGAAGGCTATATGTCAAAACACTTTTTGGGAAAACTTTTATCCGAAGAATAATGTCATGAAGAATCCAGGTCCAGGCACTCAAAATGGTTTAAAAAATATAAAAGGCCTTTATTTAAATGGGATTGATGCTTTCAAATACACCAACGGGTATCGGCTTATTCTGCACGGTCCTTAACAACAATGGTTTCCATGATGGCCAGATGATTCTTCATGCCGTTATTCTTAACTATTTATTGAGATACACATAGCCTATAATATAAAGCATTATTTAAAGATTTAAAAATAGTAGGAGTAGTGGGACACTACATTGCTGTTGTTTATAAGACACATATATGCACATCAAACATTATTCTGCACATAAAGAGATAATGTCTCTTCTAATGTCTCTTCTACCAAATTCACCTGCTGCGTGCCACCTGCTGTGCCTGTTGTTCTGACGACATTAAACCTACATTAACTTTGCTCATATTTTTTGCATCATACAATGAAGTGCAACGTGACCAAATGTTCTGTGTAACAAGGTCGAATGACTAGATATTAGTTAGAAGGTGTGCTGAGGTTTTTCCTTTTCTTATTCTCTAAAATTCCCTTGGCTGTGTCAGTGGGCCTGTATTTTGCTGCATCTGATTGATTAAAAAAAGACTTGTAGTATTAGCATAGCAAATAATTAACCATCACCCAAGTCACATTTAAATAACCCAAACCCCACACAATGTTTTGTTCACTGTTCATTTTATCAATCTTTTAGAAAAATTATTTTCTGTTCGGTTGTTGTCTCTACCTTGTAAGGTGACCTTGAGTGCTGTGAAAGGACCTATAAATAAAATGTATTATTATTGTTATTATTATTATTAAATCTACTCTTAGGATAGGGCTCTTAGGAGTTCTTGTGAGTGGAAGGCTCTTTAAGTATCCTCCCATTTATTTTACTCCAGAATATTGCTCAATGATTTGAGAAGAGAATTGAGCTTACAACCTTAGAAATGAGGAGAGCATTTAAACCAGGGGTTTCAAACTCGCGGCCCGCTGGACGATATTTTGTGGCCCCCTGCTTGACATCAAAGTCTAGTGTTAGTGCGGCCCGCGCGTTTTTCTCAAAAGCACCTTTTTGTCGAGTCGTTGCACGGGCGTGCTTGCCCTGACAGCTTCCGGTGGCGTTTGTTGTCAAGTTAGCCAAAGCGAATTAGCAGCGTTAGTCACGTGATTGAAACGTGATTCCGTTCTGAAGAACCGTTCATGTTGATGAACTATTCATCATAAAGATTAAGAAGATTGGATAAGTTGTATGTTTTGGATAATACCTGAAACCCATTTTTTGTGGATACTTTATGCAGCCCAGCCTCACCCAGATTCTATTACCAGCTCCCCCCAGGTAAATTGAGTTTGAGACCCCTGAATGAAACTGTATTTAACAAAGCTGCATTTTCATAATACTTTTTTTGCTCATTACTACAGTACAGCATATCTAAACGTCTGTGAGATAAGTGGCTTTAGGATTAAAAAAACACAAGGCTCCACTGTTATACAAGCTGCAACATGAGGGCGTCATTGAATCACAAATCTGACTCTGTTGTTTGCAGCCCTGTTCTCTGCTGACAGAAATACTTTAACCTGTTCAGAGGTGGACGCTGTACTACGAAGCCGGATTTGCGCTCATTATTGCTTAGGGTAAATTCGGAGTTTTCGGTACTACGACATCATGAAGAGGAATCCACTGGAATTACCCATAATCTCTCATGGATATTTTTTAACAAGCATCCAAATATGGTTACATTCTGAATATGTTGGGCCTTTTTTTACAGACTTTCCCTTAACTTTTACAGTAAAGTCGTATGGAATGTGATATGAGCAGATACGCCATGTAGATAAATATATATCAAATGAGAGACTATTAGTAAAATAATTTTATGACTTTTTGTAATTTTTTGCCGCTCCAACCATCCCTACCGGCTTCACTGTGCTTTTACACATGATGCCTCACTTTACCGCGGTGTAACCATGTTGTGGTCACATAATATATTTTTTATATATCTTACACGTTCACACAATTAGTGATATATAAATTCAGCTGGATCTTGGAAATATATCTATGTATCGTATGTTGAACTCGCTTAGTAGTAAAGACCTCTGGTGCTAATAACATCTGTCTGAAGAGATGTGTGAACACCCCCAAGATGCACTGAGGACATATTTGAGATCAGATTACTCAGACCACGTTAGGAAGCAGTCTGAGATTCACATGACCACATTTTTTAGCTACTGGCTTACCACAGTCATTGCTATTGTGTGTATTTGTAGCAAGGAAAAGTGGAGATGGATGCATAAAAATTAGAAAAGGGTAGTTTTTTTAACCTCCTTATTTTGATAGGGTGCTTTATTGTTTTATTTGAACAGATCTTTTAAAGATAAGTTAAGTTACATTGTTTTCAAGTTACACATTTTCAGCTTCTTAACTTTTCTTCCAGCTGTTGTGCCATTACTTACATTTCACAAGCCATCCATAAATGATGTAACACTTCCTGTACTAATTTCAAAATAGAACCTCTCCAGTGTTTCTGTTGACTGAGTCCATTCATTTGTTATTTAAAAGCCTATATTCAGAAATATTTGCAGGCAATGCACGGCCTCATACTTATACAGGACTAGTTTCATACAAGGAAATACATGAGTCACACCAGAAACCTCACAAAGGCTGTAGTTATATTATATTAGATATAATAATACTATTAAAAGTTAGAGATCATCAGGTGATGGGCAGTAGATCACTCTCTCTCACACATGCAATGAGCCTAATGACACAAAACGTATTGTGGAGACTAAAAAAAAACATAGCGCTATGACCCACACTGCCAGTGTGAACAAAAGACAACCGCGACACGAAGTCTTTCCAAGGTGCAACTGCAGCCAGCGTGTCCAGGGCGTGACAGTTCACCTTCTGTTCTCCTTATAGACTGAACCATGCAGTGAACTGAGAGAGGGGTGAAATTTAAAGGCTATCCTGATCATTTTGCCATTTGCCATTTGTTATTTCATACATAATTTGTTAATAGATTAAAATATCATTATAATAACATTAACTAACTAATAATAATGACATTAATAGCATTTCCTGAGGGCCCCTGTCTGTGCTGGGCCCTAGGAATCATCCTTACTTTCCCCTGCCTTTACGGCGCGTCTGTGCATGGTAGAGGCAGGTATGAACACGACCTTTGTTATGATGGACTGAATACTTTGGAGTTGAGTAATTGGTGGATCATTGTAATGCACTGATGACCCCCCGCCCACCCCCACTACGCCCCTCCACCTGCATCACAAAAAACCTGCCTGTCAGGTTTCTGTTCAGCCATGTTCTGTTGAAAAGGCTGAAGAAAGAAGAATGCGTGGTCCGGACATGCTGGTAGTTTTCGAACTGATGCCAAAACAACTTGTCAGTGTCACAGTCTATTTACACTTCTATGTAAATAATGGCAGGACCAAAATGCAACCTATTACATCATACTTTACCACATAACATAAGAGACTTATATGCAGCAAATACTAAAGACGTTATTATTATATTCAAACTTCCTGTGAATTTAATTTCATTGTGAATTCTTAATGAGCTGAAAGTAATTTGTAAAGGCCTCTCTTAACTTCGTCCCCTAAGAAACGGACTGGAGGTTACAGAGCCTCCTGATTGGCTGTCAGATACTACTCCGCTCTCTTATGAGCAGCCCTATGAGACAAATTGTGATTTGTGAATATGGGCTATACAAATCAAATTTGATTGATTGATTTTGAAGAAGTCATTCTCTTCCTCTTTGAAGACTTTAAAGACCCACTTAGCATTTGTCTGAATACTTCAACATTTTGAGTCATGAATGGAAAATACTTTTTGTTGACAGTATTTTATTTCCAGTAAACAGTTCCAGGCTTAACTAACCTCAATCTGTAAACATGAATCACATAAATTTGGTTTAGACTATTTCGATTGTTTAGATTATTTAGATCTTACAAGGATTATTTAGTCCTTGTATTAAACACTTAAAACATTCAAATAGCCGTGATAGCTGGAAGGGGCCAATCAGGTCTACATTCAGCCCAGTTAAGTGTGCACTGTGCATCAGACCTTACAGACCGTATCTGCTATTGCAACACAAAAGACCATGGCAGACTGC